GTTAATGTCCAACAATACTTCTTTTGATCATAAAATCATAATTATTATCAAAATCATATAATTTCTTACAATTTAGACAACTAGTGATAAAATCAACAATTGATAATAATACACCGTGAGTTACATCACTTTTTTTTAGTTGACCATCAGCTCCATAAAAAGTATCAAAAATTTTGTTTATTATATTACCATTGTCAACATTCAAAAAATGTGTTAATAAATTTGGATCTTTTTTCAATAATGAGCTTGCTGCAACTAATCCATGTTTAATCAAGTAACTACTGTTTCCAGTAGAGTTAGTTAATAAATTGTCAACTTTGGAAACAGAATCAACGCATTTTGTTATCAAACTGACTAAATCTGTACATAAATCTCTAGCTAAATCTTTATTTGCTAAAGAACCTAAACATTCCAAAGCTAAACCAGCAATATATTTGTTAGAATTGTTAATATCTTGAGAAATAAGATTCGTAATCAAAGTTAAAAGTTCTTGATTCTCATCTTTTAATAAAAGAATTACACCTAGATAACCTAGTCTTTTATTTTCAAAATCCATACCTCCTTCATAATTCAATGTTGATACACTGGAAGATGACACTGATAATAGATTTATACAGTCAACTTGTCCAAAACTAGTCTTTTCACCTAAAACATATAAATACAATAATTTAGATGTATATGTTCTTCTTCTTTCACCTTGAACAGAATCATCTTTTAATCTAGTTCTAATTTTAGCTGATTCTTTGTTTATGATATCTCTCTCTTTTTTTGGAGTAGATGCATCTTTAACATCCTTAATAAAATGTCTCAAAGAACCCATATTTAATAAAATATAGTAATAATTGATATGATATTAATTTTTATGTGTTGGATTATATGTTATTTCTTTGATTAATAGGTATTGTTTATAGAAACTTTGATAAAAAAAAAAATTAATAACGACGTGGAGTTGTTTATAAATTTATTTCTAGTGTATTTTTTTTTTTTTTTTTCTAACATAATAATATTTATCTTATATCCTAAATCAAAAAAAATGTTTAATCAATTTGAAATATTTTTGTATGTTTAAAAAAAAAAAAGCACATGCTTCCAAATTTGATTGACAAAGTCTATTTTCTTTTAATACACATATATTTAATTGTTTTAAAAAATTACTAATATTATCGTATTTGGACTCTAATCTACACTTATTTACTTTTTTTAAAAAAAAAAATGGCAATCACATATCATTTGTATTTAAAAGATTAATACTATTTAAATACAAATCATCATTTCCTATTTGGGAAATTTAAATACTTTTTTTTCATTGTATTCAGTAGCAAGATAAAATTTTTTTTTTTTAAAAAAAAAATAATTCAGTAATGCTGCTAAGTAAAATTAATTAATTATTTTATTACTCACAACGCGTTATGATATGTATTTCCATTAAATAAATTTATTAATATTATTTTATTTTAGATATAATTTTCAAAAAATCCAAAACAAAAAATAAAACTCTGATTTTGATATATATATATATTATTTTTCTTTAAGATTAAAAAGAAAAAAAAGTTATATAGAAGTCCAAAGATTGTCAGTAATCTTTTTTATATTTTACGTATATACGTTTGTTTTTTTTTTTTACAACTTTATACCCATTTTTTTCTTCTTTCATTTCAATTCTTTGTTTTAACTGTTTTATATTATGAATGAAAACAAAGTTATTTTGAAATTAGAAAAAACTAGAATTTCAAATACTGCAGTGTATTTGATGTACAATGCAAATCTGCCAAAAGAGACGACAATGAAAAGAGTAGATGATGGCTGGATTAATATATCACAATGTTTTAAACTAGAGAATTTTACTTCTAGTAAGATTAAAAGACACAAGATTTTGGAAGATGAAGAACTAGCAGGCACAATAAAAATTGAGAAAATAACTGGTGGTTGGGGTAGGTTTCAAGGATCATGGATATCAACGGATGATGCCATATACTTGTTTAAAAAATACTCATTTCAAAATTACGTTAACCTTACTCTTTTATCATTTAAAGAGGATCGTAATAATGTATTACCTTTTAAACAAGATGTTAAGCACTATGAACCTGTAACGTTTGAATTTGAAGCAAAAAGTTCAGATCTGGCGAAATACAAAAAAAATAAAGCTGAACATAAAAATGAAAAAGCTAATAATATATTCATATATCACAACGGTAATCAGCAAGAGACAGATTTTAAAAACATCAATCAAAAAGAATTTCAACCAGCTGAGGAAACAAAAAAAAAGAAAAAAAATAAAACAGAAAATACTCCAAAAACCAGAGG